GTACGCGCTAAACGACATGAAATTACGACTCATTGGCCACGCATGGGCAGTCTAACAGTAATTTTCATCACGATGCCATGTCACAATGGCCTGTCAAATTTAATTAATCCGCTAAAATCAAACATGGCGACTTATGTCTTATTATCTGTGGTCGCACTTACCTCTCTGACCGCTCGAGTAACGGTAACTGTTGGTCCAGAATTTTTTTACTGTTAAATGTCGAAGATAAGTTGATGGTTTATTAAGATTTAGTTTTGTAAGCCCACGCGCTTTCTGATTGGTTATTTTTGTTAGGATTGATGTTTATTGGACGGCAGTAGCTCGGAGCGATTATGGATGTTTTATGTTACATGTTTTTATGCTACCTATTGGATTGTATAATAGCAAAATAACATTTGAGCGAAGTTATCAGTTCTATGTCCTAAGGAATAGAGTTATTAATCGTTTTACTAAGAAATTTCGAAAGAAAAACCTTATATCTGTTTTCCACAACCTTTCCAAAAATTTTAAGATACCCTTAAGATAGGATAGGTGACGTTTAACGACATTTTGGTTTTCATCAACCTAAAAAGGACATCTAACTGTAGCTACAAGAGGTTAGTTTAGTTACTACGTAAGTAATTTTTAGTTAAGTAATGGTTTAGGGGTGGTTGATAAAACGGTCACAAGAAATATAGGTGTCTAAGTATCTACTGTTTACCACCACAGATGGGCCCAAATAGGGCTGATGCCGATACGGAGCCGATGACTCGAACGGGTTGCATGGGCTCCGGCACGAAGTGCAGAACTAGGAACGGAGTGGTTTTTAATCAGTAAGAGTCTGACACTTTCTCTCGCCCCACACGACGTCAAAAAAAGTACCTACATGTACTGTTTCGGCCTAACAAATAAATAATAAAATACCAATGTACCGGTAATAAAACCACTTCATTGATTATCCAATCAACCCTGAAATTCAACTAGTGTTATCATTACGGTTATTTGATAAAAATTCGTGTTATTGTTGTATTTGACAGCTAATAATTACGAAACTGATGTAGGTCGGTGCGTCATATTTATCTAGCTATAGAACAATAACTGATAAAATTCATTGATGATACTTAATATGGGTCTAAATATAGAATTTGTTACCTGTAGTTTGGGCTTTTCGAGTGGGCTGGCTAAATAGGAACTTTATAATACCTAGTTATAACAAGCGAAATGTGTGTGTTAGGTAGGTACATCGATCTTCCTATTATTCCAGAATTAGGTACGGAAAATTAATCCCTACTGAAATTGTTTTATAATGTAAACTTGTAAATACATAGGTATTTTAATAGTAGAGATAGATTTGAGCATTGCAAATATTAATTTACACAGATACCTACGTAAGTAAAAACATGAACTTTTTTTTTTTTTTTTTTTAAGGGGGGAAAATCATCGAATGACTGCCCCCGCCTGGGTGAGGCGGGAGGGAGTGTCAGACTCTTACTGACTAAAAACCACCCCGTTCCTTCTCCTGCACGTCGAGCCGGAGCCCCGGTTACCCGTTAGGTTCTCCGCGACAAAAACATGAACTAGGTAGATAAATCATATGTTTTAACTAGGTAGGTAGGTACTTAATTGTTTGCATTTTTATTGTAGCTAGGTGTCACATATGACAACATAGCATTATCATAATATAAACGGCAAAAATGCAACTATGCAAACAACGCTTGAATATGTCATGTTTCAAAATGATTCACTTCAATTATAAAAACAAACTGCCTATCTAGGTACGTCTAGTATTACCTAAGTAACTGTAAAGTAGGTATTAGCGTACAAAAATCTATCTGTATAATTCAGAGGTTGATCTTGCTAGTAGGTACTAATAGGAAGAAGCCTACGGCTACCTAAGTACTTACCTACTGAATAGGTACTTACTTATTACTATCATGGTGCATAGTATTTACAAAATTCATCAACAAACTTCCAAACTGAAAAGCTTTAGGGCACAGATAGGTGAGATAGGGCAAACTGAATAAAAAAAAGAAAACAATCACACGCATGCCTATTGAAACCTAATTTTCTTCTTGGCACTATTTCAAAACGGGCCAAACCATTTATGTAGACATACCTAGTGCCTATTTTATTTAAACACAATAGACACGTTTACTTTAAAGGAATAAAATGAGTCAGTAAACATACAAAGTCTAATTTTTTCGTCCTCACTCGACCGCTAGACGGCAAAGTAATTTACATTCAGCCTCATTCAGCCAACTTCAGAAAAGAAAATTCTTATAAATCAAAAAAGCGCACCCCAATTGAACAGCCGTAAATTTTGACACCATCGTGTTATTAGATTAAAAAGTAAAGAATAACCTAGTTCGAAATTACAGTAAAATATGTTTTCCTGGGAACTTTTCGTACAAACATCGAGTTTTTCGAGGTAAACAAATTGGTGTTTTCAAATAAAGTGGAGGAAAATTAGTATTAAACATAAAAAGGTTAACTTTAAATTAGGTATAAATCATTTTTATTTGTATTAACTGCCTTTCTTCTTAATCGGTTTCAATTGCATCGTTTTAAGATAATTAATTTTAATCAAAACATCAGGTAAATATGACACAATCTAGTCGTACGTATTCCAGAATTTGATTTTTAGCGAACAGAAACTAGGTACCTAAATATTTGCCCGCAAACAGAACGAAACTAAAAATAAAAAAATATCACCAAATATAGAAACATTTCACTACGATTTACATCCAAAAATAAAAGCCGATAAATCAAATGGAACACGAAAAAAAATGTCAACTCCCATAACGCATCAATCCTACGTTTCCCGCGCAAACGTAGGATGGCACAGACTATAGAACGCAGCTCACGTTTTTTCCCTAGTCAATTAGCTCACGGCAGCGCACCATACAGCCAAGCGACACATGTCAACATCTGTTCTACAACTACCGATGTGACACGCACGTTTCCGGACTTAGATTTTTTATGTGGTAAATTAACGCTCGAAGGCATAATACTCGAAAAAACCACGACACGTGCGTTTTAGCCTCTAAATGAACAGTAATTTTATATGCATTGTGTTCTTTATTAAGAGTGCATTTGTATGAGTAGAAACAACGTGGAGTTGCTTTTCGTTAATAACAATAGAAACATGGTGGGCATGAGAAAGTACTTGTTTACACGCGTTATGTTACTTTCTTTTTTATTTTTAGGCTATTCAATGATTTTTATACTCGTAAGTAAATTTTTCATAAGACATTGTCCAAATATGTTGTTCAATTCGCAATAAAATTTTATTTCATCGTCCTTTACAATCTTGCAATGACATTTCGCACATACGAATTTTCATACTTTTATTGTTTTCCAGATCAATATTTATGATTATTCAAAATCCACAACTTTATCTTGCACACGACCGCCATCAATACTGCCTTTACGACTTGTTTTACGACTAAATCAACGGTTTCATCTTGTAAATTGTAACCCTTAAATTGTCTATAAAATTATGTTATCCGATGTGAGTAGGTATTCAAATTTTGATAATAAAACTGAATCTGAACCACTGTTTCTTGTAATGACAATTCGATGGAGTTCTAAGCAATCTTTATGCAACTTAAATCTAACCAGTGCCTTTAGCCAAACGCCACATTAGCGCTTGTCTACAGAGAGAGTAGAAAACTAAATGTATGGGGATGACACTGACAAGTGTCAAAACTTATGTCAAGTCTATATAATTTGGTTTTCTATTCTACATGTAGACAAGCGCTAAATGGCATTTGGCTACAGCTGCAGGTGTCTTATTTTATGATTCACTAAACTTTTTTAAATCTCTATTTAAAAAAAGTGAAATGTCCCAGGACATAAAGAATTCGCGCCCATTATCCTGTCAAAAATCACTTTGTCATTTAATCTTGTGTGTACGGGATTAAAATATTCGCATTTAATTAAAATCGGTACTTAATCAATACATATTTTTGCATAATTTGTTTTAAACAATTATTTATTGTTCACGGAAAGTTAAATGGGTTGTTTGTGATGTAAATTACGTGGCGTTTTAATGTCGAAACGTAAAATTAGTGTTCAAACTGATTGTGATTGCTGTTTCAGTAAAATCGGGTTAACAAAGCTATCTATTGTGTTGTTTCGTATAATTAACTAGGTATAAAGATTCGTACGGTAATGTAACATACGCTCTCAATTTTGGTAAAAGCTTATTGTTGTCTCACGAGTGACGCCATCTCTCGGGCGGATGAATTGAAACTTACATGTTCTATCATAAAAAATCTGCGAATGTAAAGACGGTTTTATTGTTGTGTTTTTGCGATTCGTCGTTTCGTTGAAATGCTTTTTTCAAGACGATCTTGCTTGTGATTGTGACTGATATTGCAAGATAGGCAGGTAGCTACGCACGTCACTTAATCTAATAAGTTTTGTATGACAGACGTACTTATTTAGTTAAACCTATTTGAGAATATTTTAGTTGGTCATATAAAATATGTAAATCAAGTAACTTCAATTCTATTAATGTAATCGTTTCGACATTACTTGCTTATTCCTTCGAGTAAAAAGCTCGGTCACCGTGGCTAATCTTATCTATCGTAATCTTTCGGTGTAACTATTCATAATGTTCCTTCGACCATAAAAAAATGTTATTAACACAATTATAATCGAATCGACGAAAATCCTACAACAAAAGTTATCAAATGATCGTTAAGTGGAGCCGGGTGGCGGGCACCATCAAGTTGTACCGTTACACCAACTCGCCTAATTAATACTCGCCCACTCGAGCCTCGGCCGGACTCGAACCCGTTCGCAGGGCCGCAATGTTTACCGCACATTGCACGCCGCGCGCATCTACAATGCAAATCCACAAACACCATCCACGATCTGCGATTCAATATCGACGCATTACAAGCCCTGAGCTTCCTCACTCGCATACGAAACCGAATCAAGACTATCGATTTAACTCTACACGAGGGTCGTAGAAAGAATTCCTTACAACAATGAGCCGGTGTAACAATAAATACCTTAATGATATCCCGAGATCGGAGAGAAAAGGCGTCCGGCGGCGGCAGGCGGAACCCGTTCCACAGTTTTCAAGAGAAATCCTCCACTATAACACCTCGAACAGACAACATCACAATATGAAATGGCACAATCTCACACGAGCACTATAATAATAGGAATCCACAGCACTGGTTTGGTTTTGGTACAAAAGATGTTTTTTCGTAACACAGCGCGGCGAATACACTCTCTCCGCGAGACAACCGACGCGCACGGCAGCCGGGCACGAACTGAACTGGTTTTGCTGGGGGTGCGGGGTCGCGGGGAGGGGTGGACGGGTGCGTTTGGTTCGGTTTTATGAAAATATTTCGTGAGTAATGCACGTGTTATGTCGGCGAGTGCGTCGGCCTAGAGCGGCCTCGGATCTTTGATTGAAGTGCACTGTGCGCTGCGATAGATAAAGATAGTAAAAATCCCGACGTGTCGTAGTGGACACGCTTCTCAGCGACACAAGCTGTGAGGTCTTTGTCTCTTCCTACGCTTTCCATTCGATAAAGGCTGAACTTACCCGGGCTTAGTGCACGTTGCATTTCTATCTACAATCAAATTTACAACGGATTGCTACTCGTTCGATATTACGTTTCGTATCGTACCTTCATTATTGTATCTTTCAAGCATATTGCATCTATAATTCAGTTGATCAGAGCATTGCCCTAGCTAGCCAGGTCGCGGGTAGGTTTTGTTTGTAGCGAGTACTATTTACAATTCTGTTTTATTGGTATAACGTCGACAGCCTTTCAGAATTGTCTATTTGTTTTCGTAATTGTTCTATAATAGGCATTTGGTTCTGTCGGACCTATGAATAAATTTTTGTTTGCTTTCTGTAAACGATTTATAACGTGAAGCGTTGTGGGTTGGTATTTACCTACTGCTAAATTTCTTATTAATTTCATTATACGTTCGTAGGAATAGAAAAGCAAGAGGGATACCATTCAAAACAACTAGTTTGCGAAGTGCAGTATAGTTCTCCTGTTTCATCAGTTGATTCGTTCCTAGTGCAATCTAGTCGGATTACAATCTCTAATCAAGATCCACTAGCCTTATTCATGGAAGATTTTTGCTGACGCCGCATGCAAGCTGGGATTAAACTCTGTACATACTGAACTTTAATTTTAAAGCTAGATGTACGCTTAAGACGAGCTAGAAGTTTTACGATATTAATAAACTCCTATTAACAGACAAGATGGCGCTTGGGGGTAATTCTGAATTATGGGCAAGCGTTTACTCGACATTTTGAATTGCTACCAATAGGTCGGCGATGAAAAAGGTAAAAAATATGGCCCATCGAGTGGATCAAATCCTACAAATGAATGCATAAAAGCAGAGCTTTTAACATACAATAACTACATAAGTCTATACATGTCCAAGTCTAATGGAATTGGAAATAAAGCTGCCTTTATTGACATTGGTGAAAAATACGTAATTTATGGATAAAATATTAACAATAGCACAGCGTTGGAGCATGATTGAAACGTGAATCGTTTACCGACGTTATATTCGATGTATTCAGGATATAAACCTTATTTCATGTTCCACCTTTGTAGTGTTCGCTGTATCGACGTAAAGTATTTAAATAATGCACATGTACGCTATTTATTACAAGCCGCATCGACAGGTGCACTGTACATGTTAAATTAAAGTATTGGTTTTGAATTCTGATTACTGCCATTGCTTTTGTTTCGACGTTTTTGCGTGTCACTGTATCTTTGTTCATGAGTTATTTATTGCAAATTGTAGTTTCATTTATCTACAAAGGATCCTCTTACTCACAACGCGATTTACACTTCAAATTGTCTCTTTGATGGAGTTATCCGCTTCAAGTCTGTCGCCAATCTGCAAACGAAAGAATTCTTCAACAATAAAATGATTGGAGACACACACCTGCTTACAAAATCTTTTAAAGCGCTTTACGATAATGACTTTCTTTCAACCGTCTTTACGACATTTATCCCATGAATTTCTCGAAATGACCTACCTCCTGAAACAAGATCGGCTGATCCGTTGAAATTCAGCTATCCGCAATCCGCTGACAAAATCTTTGTAGTCAAAGACGGTATTTCTATAAAAAACGCATTTTCAGAATCGCCGTGTGGCCCTTTGAAGTTAATCCCTGGATTTGGGTTCACCGTTACAGGAGATACCTCCTCGCGTTCACTGAGTGTGTTTGTATGTAAATGTTTACTGTGAACAATTTGAGCGTACTTTCTCGGCTGGATTACTTTGAGCTCCGTGCGTCGGTCGCGCTGCGAGTGTGTGAGTAAGGGTCGGAGGGGTCAGGTAGCGTTGGCTGCGTGATGGTGTTGCTGTGTTGTCGCGCAGCTAGCGCCGCCTCTCGGACTGGCGTGTAATTACAACTGGCGTGGTGAAGTGACGTCGGCGCGTCGAGACGACGTCGAGTGGGTCGTCAAAAACTCGAAAATCGAATTGGTTCGTTCGTTATTAGTTTTGTTCGTTATTGCACATGCAGAGTCTATGGTTTATGTTTCTGTATTTCATTCAATTATACTGTAACAATGTGCTATTAATTTGTTTGAGAGATACTTTAGTGTTGGAACTAGTTTTAGAGATAGAAAATTACCTACTTAGCATTCAAGTTGATTAAATCCCCGATTGAATATTCTCATTACAGCGCTGCAATTTATGTTTTTGCTTGAACATAAATTCTGTCTTCAACAGCAGCTAGTAAAGTAACACTGAACCGCATTAAGAATTTTACTTTATTAACGTTTTCATAATAGCGAAGTTAGCTTTGAGTTTAAATGAACCCTAATGCCCGATTATATCCAGTTCACTTCAACTTTTTTTTATTAAATCGTTACTTAAGTTTCATTGTTAGTATTCATCCCGAAATTAGGGACATGAACAAAGCTCATCCAGTAATCATAAAATAGGGTCTTAATATAATTTCACTTGCCAAAGTCAATTTCATTTTAGTGTTCCAAGTCTTTATTCAGAATTAAAACTTCGGGCGTTTGCTTTATCGTAAAGTTTCTATGTGGACCGAAAAATGTCGTAAAAAATACCATACAATGTTCAGTAACAACAGAGGGTACGTTGTCGATATTCGGCATACTTTTCCGGATAAAAAGGATGAACGGGTTCCTCTAGAGGATGTAAATATTATCTTGATACATTTTATGTCTCAGGAATGCTATCGTTTGATGGCTCCTGTAAAGAATGGTGCCCATGGACTTGCTTAAATTTACATTTATTCTATCTTTTGTTTATTTTCTAAGTTGCTCGTAAATTTTCGGATCTACTTGGTTGCTGCTTTAGGATTGGAATTGAAGTGATAGGATTTTGTTTTAATGCCTCGCATTCTTCGCTTCTATTCCCTATTTTAGACTTAAAAACAAGTTTAGACACCACCAAAACGGGACCTAAAATTATTTAGATAATAATAGATCTTTACATTGTTTTTTTATTCTTTACATTCTTTTGTTTCCAATAGGTAACACTTAAAATAACAAAACGGAACGTACGTACTCGAAGAAATGAAAACACAGCAATGTCACGGAAATTTGCTAGCAAAAAATGTTTTTCCGGACCACCAAAATGTAATTCAATATCATCCAATAGGAGTAAATCGTAAAATGTCTATAGATATTACTTTAATGCCATGATTTTGGACCTAGACCCGATGACACGGAAAACTGATAACCTTCTAAGCTATGAGTAATAGGGAAAGTTGGCCTGTTCGCGTCCATGTTATGGAACGCCCTTTAAAAATCCCCGAAATTGACAAAACTACCAAATTAGTTGTAGTTAGTACACATATGTTTGATCATACACATTTTCAGTAGCTTACATTCATGGTGATTCGTAAAATGGCCGTGAACTGGCGGTCGGTACCAGGTGAATTTTGGTGGGTGGACGCGAGCAGGCGATCTTACCGTATCGACTTCATTTCTATATCTTTCTTCCTGCTTCGGGTGTGGATAAACATTTATTTTTCCATTTCGGGAAGGAAGGAAAGGTTTTGGAGTTACAATTATGTGATCTGAAATGTTTCTTTACTTTTTTCACTATACTTTCGCACACTTAAGATTAAACCTACGCTTTTGTGAAGGTTTTTCTTATTCTAATTCCTTCTTATAACTAAATGGTGTTGTTATTTAAGGTGTTTAAGTTTTACCTTATACGTAGTTATTTTCTTTTAAATGGACTTTTTTTAATTAATGTCTTTTTCTTCTCAACTTTCTACCTACTTCTTGGTTGAGTACTAGCATTTGCCATAACGCAACAGCCATCAGCTTTTAATCTTAATTTCAGATGACCATGCAGCAAAAATGGCAAGCTTTTAAAATATATTTATCATAATATTTAATCGAAACTGCTTTATGAATCCTAGCGTTTCATTCCAGGAAATTATTAATGTTTAAACGTATATCGATATTAATATCGAGTTTTCAATCAGATTTTAGCTCGAAATACTTATGAACCGATGATTCCTCGTGTAGTGAATATGTGTGGATATATATTATATGTTTATAATTATGCATTTGTGTTGATAAAATAGGTCGTTCGTAGACACGTGCTCGCATTTGCGTAGTTATTGATTCTATTATGAATGTGATAATGATTTTCCTATGCTTAACGTGAATTGATAGTGTAGATTTTTATATGTATACAGATGTGTTAGTGTATGTACTTTGTTTATATATCAACATATATATATATACATATACATATATATCATATTATAACCATACGTAGACATATATATAACAAGGTAAGTATCCTTACTAATATTATAAATTGGAAAGTCAGTTTGTTTGTTTGTTTGTTCCGCTTTCACGCCATAATTACTAAATCGATTGCTTTGAATTTTTGCAGACGTAAAGTTAGAAGTCTGGATTAATTAATAGGGTACTTTTATCCCGAAAAAAATTGATATTCCCGTGGGAAAACAAAAATATTGGTATAGATGGCGCTGTGTGCATTGGTATATATCACATAGGCTACGTTGTATCCTTTTGTGACGCGGGAAAAAGCTAGTATATTTATATAGTATATTGCTGCGTTTGACTGCCGGGCAAGGAGTCTCGGTTTCGATTCCCAGGTCGGGCAGTGATATTGGTTTTTTTTAAATATAATTTGTGGCACGGACTCTGAAAATGCGCTCGGTATTTGGCAATAGGCTCACCACCTATTGAATGGGACTCATAACGTTTTCTCCCACGGACCTTCCGATTGTGGAATGAACTCCCTGCCGTGGTTTTCCCAGTGGGCTACAACACGAGG